ATATAAAATGAATTTATTCAAACTGCCTATCATTCGTTTTGTTTAGATGTATTGAATGTGGTGATAATTTGTGTGGACCATGTGCCCAAGCTCATAAACGAACTAGAATAACACGACTTCACACTCTGCTTTCATATGAGGTAAGTCTACAGTTTTAAATATTTGTTTTTGCATAAATTTTAGGTGTATTTTCAGTTCAGTTGCACACGTACTTTACATTTAACCGGTGAATTGCAAATGAAGTTTCACTGTGCTTTTAAAGGTTCGAGCACTCTAGCAGTACAGTTAACGTATCGAGAATGTAGTTTGAAAAGATCGTTTAGCTGATATATATGTCATATGAAAATTTACATTTACATAAACTAGCTGATCAAAAGAGTGTACATTATTTTAGTGATAACTGATCAGGTATTTTAGTAATGACATGTGGATATTAACTGACTGTTTAACTCATGTAAAAATATCTTTTAATTGTATCGCTAAACTATCAATAAAATCATTCTATGTACGATGTCCAAACGATTTTAAAAGAATGAATAAATCAAAAACATACAAAGCAATAATCATAGTTTGAATAAGTAATACAACTGTTCATTATTATCTAGAGAACTAGATTCATAAGGATAGATAATCTTGCCAAATATATTCATAGTTTATATTGATGATTCCTCTATTAATATAACTACTTTACGTAGATTAATAAATGGTTGGAGACAATCAAGAGGTAGAACTACGTTGCCTATATTTTATGTTAATTCAAACTTACTAGTAGGGTGATACACACATATAAAACTGATGCTCCTCATAGGATACAAACCCATGTTTTTATTTCGATAGTTGGGGGAGAGAAAATTTTTCCGATCGACTTCTAATTTATTACTTGAGATCAGTCAGACAAGTACATTTGTTTAATGTTATTACATTCACTAGTTAGACTTATTTGATTACGAATATCATGAATTCGTTTTGTAGTTAGTTCGAACTTAAGACTATGAGTTAAGTGATACCAGGAAATCTCAATTAAAGATATGAATGCATGAATATTACCTTATGAAGATGTGAAATCGTTTATTATAGAGATTGAGTAAACCTAACGAAAATTATGTAAATGCTTAGCTTAAATTAAACATTTATATGTTAAACGGCTGACCACAAATTTAATGAATTTGTGTGGAAATATTTTAGAAATAGGGTAAAATCTGTAGATTGATCAGAGTTAGACATTAACACCACTGGATGCCGACCCAGTGGTCCAGAAGTTAGGCGTTCGCGCTTAAGAACGAAGGTCCTGCATTCGAATCCTGCGATGTGCAGGAGTCGTGGATGCACACTGCTGATCCGTCCCATACCAGGACGAAACGGCCGTCCAGTGCTTCCAGATTTCTACTGGTAGTGCAACAATGATTGATGGTTTCAATGTGCGCAAAAAAAATTCAAATCATATTGAAAGGTTTATTTCTTGATTAAAAATATCCTAATAATATTTTATGTATATAAATGAGGTGACTTTACTAATAAACACAGTAATTAGATAGAAAATTCAACACTGAAAGATGAAAAAAATTTATGCATAATAATAGGCGTTACAGTTGCATGTTATTATTAATAAAAGAATTGGTTAGAGTTTAAAACTGGGATATTGTATTGTTTTTTTTCTCTGAATAAACAGGAAATTCTGCACTTGTTTGTTTCTTATAAGAAAAAAAGAATAATATTTTTAACTAGGTCATAGTGTATTTTTATCTTTGTCTTGGATTAATTTTTTTTATTCCCTTCAAAGAAAGGTTAAACAGTGAAAATTTCAAGACATACATTTTGACATAATACAATGTTATATTTAATAAACAAGGTACAATATAACTATTTCCTATAACAGTAGTTCATTTGACTTTTTATTGACTCAAAAAAAATGGTGTTCAGAAGTTATTTTAGTTTGTTAGAGCTCAGTTGCATGAGTGAGTATTGTATAAACAATTATACTTATTTGATAATCTAACCAATCTATGTCTGTACTGATTATCATGACAATACTGTTGCTAAACAACACACATTGATAGCAGAAGGAAGAAACTAGGCCTTTAATTAATTCATGAGTTTGTCGTGTTTATGATAGCGTAACACTGCTCTAGTAGCAATTTATTGCAGTCAATTATAGTGAGTTATACTTTATATTTCAACTGATTAGTGATTAAGAGAAAAAAGCAGCTCAGATGTAACTTGAAGATAAATCTGTAGAATACTTCAGAAGCATATAAGACGTTGAAATTAATTCATACTACCCAGTTATTTAAATTCATTAACGATAGTAACACTGAAGAGTTGTATTAAATAAGATGATAAATTTGTGATAAATTACACAAAAACTGATAGAAAAACACTGAAGAGAATACTTTCAAAAGGAAACAGCTTAACTGGTCTATAACAACTACTCACAACTTAACTTTAATCTCAACAAATCATTTTATTTTTCATTATTTAACCCTTTACCAAAGTTGACATAACCAATGTGATATTTAGAATGAAATAAATGAATAAGCTATAACGGTTTGATGAAAGAAATTTTCAAAGACAAAAGTTAAGAATTATTTGATGAGTCAGGTACATGCGGAGGTAATGAGAACTATGCTGGTTTTATTCATTGATTATCATAGATAATAAGAATGAACATACATTTATTTGATAATAAACTATGACGAAACTATCTTTATTCAAAATAATGTCGCTAATCCTATAAATCATAGTCAATCGACTCAACTAAATCACAGATTTTAGTTATAAACAAGGTTTCATTGACCGTACTTTCAGCTTCGTTGAGTTTTAGAACCCAAGTATATCTACTACTGATCAACTAGATTGACTATTTTTTTCTCTTCACCACAAGGTTACATCTAATTTCATCTTACAAACAGTTTTAAGGTGTCTGACTTTTGAGAGATTAACAATTAAGTTTTATTATCAATAGTAAACACTATGGAATAATCACTAACTAATGTAGCGTGTGTACTAATATGTTGAGACTACATGACCTATCCTAGTTTTTAAGTGAATCAATTAACTTTTACTGCACAAGCTACTGTTTACATGTCTTTCGACCTTGTCAATTATTCGGTTAAAATTTTCATTGCTGTTTTAATTTATTATTGTCTGTGTGTATGGCTTATTTTTGTCTGACTATCAATAAATACTTAATCATGTCGAATTACATTCAGTTGATCCGTTCGACTTTTCTGCTTTACTTCGTACTTTGCTTTTCTTTCATGCTCCTTATTCTCATGTTCGTCTGTGTACACGATTGCATGAAGTAAACTAGTTCAACTAAATTTATATTGGGCTTGTTATTTGCGCCGTCGCACAAACTGGGTTCACCTAAGAATGATATACGTAAATTGAATGGATCGAAGTTAGATGTTGGGCCCTAAACTATGTAGTTATAACGAAAAGTTAGTAGTATAAGCAGGTGATAGAAGGCATTGTAAAATCACGAAATATGCAACTTTATGAGAATATGTTATATTATGTTTTTGATTTAAACTTTCTTTTATTCTTTTTCATCAATCACATCAAAATTAGACACATTTTAATCAAAGATGAAAAAATGAAATCAGCATCTAATTTACTGTTAAAACAAAATTAAAAATTAATGATTCATTAGGCTGTATGATATTGAACCATATCATTCAGTACACTCAGTTTATGTATGAAAACACAAATAATTAATATCAATGGAATTTGATTGAATTAAATTAATTCAGAATAGTCGATAATTTGATATTTATTAATTATGCTTTTGTTGAATACCATGAAAATGAAAACCAACATTACTGATCATTCATATATTTTATTTCTCATTTATTTCAACAATTTCGTTAGTTGATAATGCAATAATGAAAGCAATAACAATATTTGAATTATTAGCATAAATTTGCACTTTGAAAAAAATGTAATGAAAAAGTATTTTAGATTAAATGCTCGTTTGTTTGTTTCTTTTTTTCGGAAAAAGTAAAAGTAGACAGAAGTCGATAAAAAACAGTAATCGATTTTATTTGATTCCATATTGAAGGAAATGACTAACTGTAAATTTCATTGAATATATTAAAATTGGCCAATGAAAAATTCGTCTGCAAAGAGATGATCCTCTGTTCTTTATGATAAGAGTTTGAATTTGGAAATTTGTTTAAACGCTTCTTCTAGATTAGATTTATTATGTAGGATAAAATGGAAGTCTTTTTTGTGTATATCAGAGCAGAAAATTGGTTAATGATGAGTTTTTTTAATCGAGAGTAATAATTGGTCACAGCTAGGGTTGAACCTTAGGATTGAACTGTTTGACTAATAAAATTGAAACACAGTTGATTATTGCTAGTTAGTACTAATAATAACGACCTTATCTAGAGATATGTCCTATGAAGACATTCATGAAATGACGGAGTATTATCAAGGGACTCATAGGCTATTTATTGCACTAAACAGGCTATTAGACTTTCATTCAAAAAGTACTTGAAGTTGTTCTCACCAGAAGGTCGGTCTATTATAAAAATGGACACCACTTCCCATCTCTAGAGTAGTGTGTATAAACTGGACTTATTACTTCTTCAAATATGTTTTAGCTCTCTTTAACATATCCGGGAGGGATGAGTTCAATTACCTTAATCGATCCACCCCAGTCATATGCTATTCAGTGCTAAGCAATAATAAACATTCATCAGAACTTTAACTCTCTTAATAAGTACTGTAAGGATTTGTATTCTGATCCATATGATTATCTGATACAATTCATATGAATTGTTGCAAAGTCTTACAGGGATCATTTATCAGGTTTTTTTATGAAATCTGTTTCAAGATTTCATCATTTGATATGAAAGTATGCCTGATCAATCATAGGTGATTTTGGATTGATCAGTATCTTGAAAATATCGAGCTTTTGATGTTGCTCGCTATTTTATCAGTTTGCTTTTCTTTTCTGTTTACAGGATATTTTAGTAAACGGGTATTTGTTACGCATGAGAGAGGCTCCACCTACTCAATGTACAGATCATGGATTCCCTAAGTTTAACACAGTTACTTCTAACAAAGAAATGCTTAGTGATAATCAGAATGGATCGGATGAAATAATCAGAACTAGTTCTACTACTGTCACTCTTAATGGTAACAAAAACAAAACTATCTCTGATCATGAGTGTAACTGGTCATCACCATCAGCTTGTTTTTACTGTAAACCATGTAATAAACTTTTATGCGCTGAATGTAGCGGACATTTTTCCATGTCATTTAAAAGTAAAGAACATGAAAATCATATTGTCTTACCATTGGAAAAGGCTGTTCATGATGCTAAACTTGAAATTAATGAACAAACTGATCGAGTTAGAAAAAGCCATTCACAATTTGAAGTAAGTCACTTTTTTCAATAGTTCAATTAAATGTGATTAGTTTCAGTTATCGAATGGTTGAAGAAAAATAGCAGGTAAACTTATGTACATAAATTTCATACGTTTTGTATTTATAACCGAAATACTCATAGGGTCTTGAACAAATTGATGTCCCTCCTTAGCATTGTTAAAACACGTCGAAAATCATCATTGTATGAAACATAAATATTGAATTATTCCGATAAGAAAGAATATAAAGAGTGAAACTGATAACTGAGATAATAGTTGAGTAAGTAATCGAATAAGATAGAATCTTTTAAAAATCAGCAAAATATTAGAGGCATAGTTGGCTCTCAGAGTCCAACTAATTATTTCAGTCATAACATTCGTAATAATAAAATCAACATTTGCAGGTACATACAGCTGATGAGATCCTAATAGGACAAAACACTCGTCTTGGATTCCATTTCAAGCCACTGTCCATTTCTGCTTAGTCATTTATGATGAAAAGAAATGGATATTTGAAAGAATTTAATTCAAACAATGTATTCATTCATCATATTAGACTAAAGGAATTTTTTTCGTCAGACTAATTTAATAAATATTTTGATTTGCTTTAATTTATGGTGATCAGAAATTGTATACTATTTACAGTTAAGTACAGTTAAGTTCATCTCACTGCTTCCTAATAATTGTAGACCTAATCAAGTTACGCTGAATGAACTTGTGTATAATAGATATTATCCTACCTTTTTGAATTAATACAATATAAATCTAACGTGTTCTGTTGTAATTGTGCACAATATTAAACAACATGATAGTTATTGAGCGATTTTTAATCATTATTATTATTACTATTATTATTCTAAGTAATCAACAAAACGATAATCTGTTGTTTATCATAAACAAATATGATTGGATTAGATAATAAGATTTTTTTTAAAATAAATCTATTAATGGATAACACAGTCAGCTTGGAAAGATATTTTAATATATTACTACTGATGATTAGATTTCTCATTGAAATTATGAATCGATTGTTGTTATACCAATATTAGAAACCTTATTATTGAAAACCTTAGATTGATCATAGTTAGACATTAACACTGTTGGATGCCGGCTCGGTGGTCCAGAGGTTAAGCATTCGCATACAAGGGTTCTGGTTTCAAATCCAGCGATTATCAGAAGTCGTGAATGCGCACTGCTGATGAGTCCTATACCAGGACGAAACGGCCGTCCAATCCTTCCAGGTTTCTAATGGCGTTTTGACAATAATTAAATCATGATTCTAATAATAAACAACAATCTTCATAGCTCTATAATGAAAGATCACATTTCTGACAAAAATAAGTGGAAATGAATCTACAGATTGAAAAATAAATAGAAAATTGTCTAAAAGGTTTTAATAAATTGTAAATAACACTTTTGGTTGTATACTCTATAAATATAGTAAATTATTTGTAGCATTCATTCAATTGGTCATTAGAACATCTTTTTTTCCCTAATCATGATTAGTTTATTTTAAATATTCATTAACAGAGTATATTTGTTAATAGTGAAGCAATTATCAATGTATCATCTCATGTTTAAAATAAACGTTACTAAGTGCCACTTAATTGTAAATAATACAATCAAATTAATCCGATGACAAAATTAAATGTATAGGATTTCTAGGCGAGAATCATAGCTCATGTCTAAGTGACGATCAAATTATATAAATCTATGAATATATATATTACAATTATCAGTATGGATACGATAATATTTCAAAAATCTCTTCAATCTTATAATTATCTAGAATAATTGTTGTGAAATTGATTTTCTAAGATAACAACAATTAACAGTAATTAGTAATAGTGTTTCTAAAGTAATTGAAAGCTATTTTTTTATCTGATTCTAGAAATATCTGTATTTATATCGTTTTTCATCAATCTTAAAACGTCAAATAATACGATTGTATATTTCAACAAGGAGAAAATCAATACATTCAATGATTAAATACTGTGGCGGTTAATTGGCTTGACTAGCCGAGTTAAAATAACACCATATCATAAGGTCATAAAATGTATATTCATCACATGAAGAAAATAATTTTTCTGCTCGATTTATGCTTTCTTGTTTATTTAACAGAATTATTTACGTCATCTGGTAAAGTATGGTCAAGAACTCACTGAAACAGAATTGAATACAACCAACCAAATTCAAAGTAGAGCAAAACAATTAAAAGAAGAAATTGATCAAATAGCTAATAAACTAATCAGTCAACTTGACCAACAAATTGATAGTGAAACGAAATTAATTGACGATTGTGCAGGGTTCTTATATCCGTTAATTGTCCAATGTGAAGTAGCCTGTCGATATGCTGATGCACTGAAAGATTTTGGAAGGTGATTTGTATCTCTAATAGTAATTTTGAAGTGAATATATCTCATTTATTTGAATACCTAACTATAAACAGTAATGATAGTGGAGTATATTTGAACTCAGCTAATCCTAAAAATTGTCAGTCAGTCAATCAGCACAAATGCACATCTATCCAAGTTGTCTCAGTTCTCATTGTTATAGTAGGTAAGAATTATTCAGAAGCCAATACGCAGGAAACAGTATCTGAGATGAATTATTCGGTACAGTACGAAATAATATTGAAAATCAAGTTACAGATGAATATATGAGGTCAATGCATTCACAAGGGTTATACATGTGTTCAGCAATTTTTTCAAAGAAATTCTAACAACCGACTGGAATTATCACTAAGGAATTCGTGATATATTTCCCACCCACCTCCATCAGTGGAGATTCAGTGAACTACTTCACAAGTGATCACTTAGCGGTTACACGTTATTCAAATAAAGCTTTAAATATGAATATCCATTATGATTTAAAAGGAATATATAGCAAAGTACTGTAGATTATGTTGGTTTGTTAGATAATTTGAAGAGTGAGAAAAATCCACTAGTCTACCATTTATTCATTATCTAAGGACAACTACTCGGTGGTTAAATTTAAGAATATATTGAAAAACATACAGTTTGGTGGCACAGAACGAGCTTCATGGAAAATAACGTTGGATGGTGACTGTTGATGGGATCAAAGGTATACGTTTCGTCTTACTTCAGATTCATCATCTGGATACACCTAAGTCACAGAGTTAACGTTTACTCAGAGACTCGAAGAGAATATTATTCGTTCCACACTCCCAGAAACACGTCCTAGGTTCCACTGCTAGCCACTATTCATCTTTGCATGAATAGTTATGACTTATTAGTAATATTGTGGCTATCAACTCAGTATGCATGCATTTCAAAAAGAGACTAGTTAAAATTAACTCTTACAATAACTACCATAAAATTCAAACACTTAGGAATCAATAGTAGCTTGATATAAATATCTGGCTCATAGTTTTTCATCAGAGCATATAAAGTTAGCGTTGTTTAAAGGTCCAAGTTGCAAGTATAAACAAACACAAAGCATAGATTAAGTTCAAATTTCTTGGCAAAAGTGTCAAACATTCATTATAAATATGCTATCTTTGGTTACAACATCCTTGGATACGATAATCTATATTTTTATTTAACACGTACTCGATACTGTCAAAGAAGTAGTAAATAAATGATGGATTATATAGTTGAGTAGTTAGAAACCAAATAGCCAGAATAATTAATGGAATGCATATATTGAGCATAACTGCGAACTTAAGGGTGACAAAACAACTTCACTTGTTTTTTTATTTAAATCGTCTTAATAATGTGAACAGCAGTGATAGGAAATAACTTCAACTTAATTATTCAGTATAACGAAACACAAAAAGAATATGCAGAATGGTTACTGGTTATGCTTAGCAATTGCCTCAACATGACCGAATCCCCAAAGTAGGGGCTTTACTCTCATATAGGATTATATACGTTGGAATCAATCAAGCCCTTGAATAAGTTTATTTGGAAGACAGTGTTATTTTTGGCCGTTAATAACTCGTTTCTACTTTCCTGGCTTAATATTTGTGCAAACAACTACGCATATATTCAAAGTCATGTACCAGTCTACTGATATATTTCTCTTATCTACCTAAACGTTGCTGAAACTCTCAAAGACTTACTTGCATGTGTATATATGTTTGCCTGTTAAATTGTGTCAATTAATCTTATTAACTCCTCTGTGTTCTGATCACTTTGTTTGAGTTACACTTTCGAAATAAATTTATGCCATCAAATTCGTCCAAACTTCTGAATATTTTATATCATTGGTGGATTATCATATTGACAGTCATTTAATCTGATCCTATACGAACTTTAAGACAAACAAATCCTTTTTCACATACTTCTGTTTTATGTAGAAGTTTAATGTTCTCACTTCTTTTGATCTGATATTTGATATGAGTTAATACATAGTCAAGGTATTTAGTATAAGCATAACTTTTCATAAGTAGCTTCTTTTTCTCGAAAAACAAATATCAAAAAACCAATTTTTTCAATAAACATTTTCTTTCTTCAAGATAGTTTCAAAAAAAAAATAGTCATCATACATGGAAGTAAGTATTTTGAGGAAATAAATGTCATTTAATGCATTGAGATACTTATTCTAATATTTCAAATGATCGACAATCAATTTGAATAGAAAGATTGTAAAACTGCAGTGTTTCTTAATAACACAATTCATCATAGTTTGTGTTAGTTATTCAAGGTATATTCATTCGAGATAAAAACCAAACCGGTAGTTTGAAGTATAACAGATTTTACTTATTAACTATGTGAGTGTGCAAACCATTCAATATGAACAAAATTATTTGAAATTAAATGTTAAACAATATATATTGTTCAAGAAATATGATTTATCTACATATTACTCAATAATTCTATCAAACAAATCACTTTTACCATGAGAATATAAGCTGATAAAATTTCATTTGATTTTTGTGTATAGACAATAATATTATGGTATAATAATTTATCAATATTATGAAACTGATGTCAATAAGTTGACAGATGACATAATATGTTCGTCAAAATCTCATTATTCAGAATACTCTCACAAATCTATAAACTAAATAGTTGATAAAACTGAAACTAAATGAGTTAAAGATACTGAAAGCTAGTTAGGATAGCAAATATTGTCTGTCTACTGTCTAGTATTCGAACTTTTAAATGATCAGTATTTATGTCAGTCAAATAAATGAATCTTAATTAAAATTAAGTGATTCCTAAATGATTTATTCTTGTTTATTAATTTGATGGGATCGATAAAAAATTTTTACAAACGAAGTCAAGATCATATACCTGACTTTAACAGACATTATTTGAACGAGGATATGAATTTCATTAGTTTTACAATTGGAATTATAGGAAATCATCATTTCGAAACCGAATAAGACGTTTGGAGGTTACTTGAACTATTCTAACCAGTTAATCAGTTAGCTAGTTATTTAGTCAGTCTGTATGTGTTACATTACAGTCAATGTCGTTTAATGTGTCAGCAGTAATAAACGACTATGAATCAGATACTCATTAATTATGTCTTAAATTTTACAATATTCATCTTTTTTCTTAAATTATTTTCATTTTAGGCCAGAAGAGTTACTTTTCTGTTTTGATCAAGTGAATGAACAATTGAATTATTTAGGACAAAAGAAAATTGAATATTTAGAAGGTGAATTAAACATGATTTGGCCTATCAAACAATATTTAATAATATAGCTTAAATGATTCCAAATAGTTATTGGCATTCCTTGAATGACTATCAAACTTACAAATGCTTTTCATGAATTGGGTAGAAATTAGTGTTCATTTATTAATTATGATCAATATTTTTCGTATTCCTCTTCTATACAATATAAATATGATCTAACAAGGTTTTTTGTTACTTTTGTATTTGCACCCACATGAACAGGGTATGATGTTCAAGTTGCACTGAATCTGATTTTCTTGAAACCAAAGTAAAATCACCTTTTTTCAGAGTATATTTATAATTACGATTAAGAAATATTGTATAGATTAGTATAAAGTTTCCATCCTGCTTTATGTTATTGACAACAATAACGCAAATGAAAGTTATTTATCAAACAAAAGTCTACATACTTGTCTTTGACTCACACATTTTATGTTACTAACGAAATGGCTAAACAAAAGTAAGCAGGGTAAAGTTGAGCTTAAAAACTATTGGTTCAAAACTTAGTATTTCAAATGAGAAAGTCACCACTTTACTTTCTAAAAAAATATAAGCTAACTGGAATTTTATGGTGCCTGATTCTGGTTTATTAAACAGTAAGTACAGATTAAAAGATTTCGATATATGTGTATAGTTTGCATAATCTAACGCGCTATACATCTGTGTCGCGATTCACCTGGTAAAATTTCTTCTTTGGAAATATATTGATTTTTATTGTTAACAACTTTCAGTAATTACTTATGGTTAAAAGTCTCTCTGTTAAAAATTTGCAAAAAAGACACATTATTCAACTGAGTGAGAATGAACAAGTTTATAATTGACAAATATTTTCAATGTTTCTACTTTATCTAGTTAAAATGACTTTATAGTTTGAGTTCATATTAGTAATGTTGTGAATGTTTTATTCACTTCATTGATTCGTTAATTCGGTTAGCTGTCAGTTCAGTTATATAAATAAGCCTTATTCACATTTACGAAAACACAGTGAAGCACGTGAATCTCTCTATTTTTCACCTCCTCGGATGAAGCTTTCTATCTCAGATCGTTTGCCTATGATGTAGAAGACAGCC